GTCTAGGTCATATCCCTCCTTTCATCTTAAATTGAAGCACAGTCTCTGAGAGGAGACCGACTGAAAGTAACACAGGTTGTTAGTGAGACAAACTACAAGTGAGGTTTCATTTCCATCCCAGAATTCTTTCCTCCACACCGTGCTGTCTCTTTGGATTGCTAAACAAGTCTTTGCGGGAAGAAATGAGCGGGAATGAAGAGGGAGGTGTTGTACATTTAGGTGCATTATGAATCCATCCAAGGTATACTGGGACAGAAGAAAGGTTGAAGAATCCTTCTCCCTGCCCCTGCCTGTACACAAAAATTTGAAACCCACTTTCTAATAAAGAGACTTGTAATTTTGGAAGACAATCTGATGTCTCTCTCTCTCTCTCTCTCTTTTTCAGGTATATGAGCACTTTGAAAGCAGAACACCATTGTTTCCATGATTCGATCATTCAGAAATTATGAAGAAACAGTTCTTGCCTTTGATTGACTTATAGTCAAGTGGAGTAGACATAGGTCATGGTGGCAGTATAGCTACTTAAGTATTCTGAAGGAGGTGAGTGTGTGGCACTTAACTCAGCCTGAGCGAGGAAAAATTAGGCAGAGCTTCTAAGAAGCGACTTTTATACAGGCATTTATACAGGTGGACAAGGATCAGGGAGGGTCATTCCAGATTTCCAGGAATCTGGCTGAATTCTAAATTGTACAGAAGACACTGCCACATGTTTTTCCCGGAGCATTAGCCTTATTTTTGGATCATGCTTCTCTAGTTTTCCTTCTCTCGCTGCTTCAATCCCCCCCCCCCCCGCCCCGGGCCCCGTAACTGGATGGGTATTTGGGATATGAAAGGAAGTCAGAGGGTGGTAAATCTTTCTGAGTGGCAGAATAATAGGATGGCTTTACCAAGAAGCAATGTATGTACTCAGTAAATCCATTTGTAAAAACTAAGTTCCTGCTTTGTTTAAATGCATAGCTAGGAAACCTCAATTTGTTCGTTGGATTCTTTCCCAGTGCGTGGATTATATTCTTGTCTCCGGTTCAGTCTTTTTGAATATAAGGACATTTAAGCTTAGGAATGAGCACGGGGGAGATGGCAAGATTAGAATCCAAGTTCATACTACAAAAACATTTTTGTTGGCTCTGTCTGGGTGACTGCATGTTGTTTTAATCAGCTGCAAGCTGTTAAATTGAATTTGCATAGCTCACATAAAGGACAGTTTAATTCCACCAGGATTTGAGTGAGGTGGAAATAGAGCAGAAAAACCGGAATCTGTCCAACTGGGGAAAATGAAGAAAAGGCAATCAATTAGTAAGTTGGGCTTAATGTTTTTTTCTGGGATTGGGGAATTGCAGAAAAGAACCTCTGTAGTAGTAAGACGTGAACTGTTAAGTAGCATTTCTAAAATATTTGGGAGCATTTTACTGACTTGGGGCATAGTTGTGCCTTATGATTAATGCTCCTTGCAGGAGACTTCCTAATTGACAGAAAAGATGCTGACTGGGTGGACTCTTTCCAAATCACAAAGTGTTATCTTGCATTTAGGTTCATTGACCATTGGTTGCTGCGAAGGAACCATATGTAAGAGTTCAAATTTCTTAAAGCTTTAAGTTATAAAAGTAATAAATGACCATTCCCTCAGTATCTCGACATGCTAGAAGACAGTGTTCTAAAAGCTGGACTTGTCATGTTCTTCTGGAGACTAACAAAATAAGAGTCCTTGGAATCAAGCTGACTCTGCTTTTAGCCTCCTACATGAAAAGGTAGATAGAACAGGTCTTGTGTGCAAAATGAATTCAAGACCTACTTATCTACCAACAGCAATAACGGTTTGTATCATCTTCCTGTAGAAAACAGGAGTAGTAAATACAGAGATGAGTGAGGGTGAAGAAAGGCTTAGCGAACCCATGAGACTCTTACTCTTAATTTATAGGAAAGCAATTGGACATTGGAGAGGTTGGTTAGGAAAGCGGAGGAGAGGACCTTTTCCTGTAGTGCAGGCCTCAGCGCATCCAGGAAGTCTCCGGATGGCTAAACCTCCTTGGATGGAGACCAGCATAGTGTTGTTTACAGAATGCTGCATCATGGTGAATCGTGCTGGGGGCAGCTGTCAGTGTGTGAGCCATGTAAGGTTTTCACATGTGCTGGAAGATGGAAAGAGCAGACTGATGACCAAGCACAAGCTTCAGAAATATTTTATTGGACGTGTACAAGTGCTTGCAAACTGTTGTTTCAATCAACAGGAAGTCAGTTATTAAACATAATACTTCTCCAAAGAAAAGGTGATTCAGTTTTACTAGAAACCAGTGTCATTTTATATCCCAAGTCTTTAACCAACTTTGCAATCTCATCTAATAAGGGTGCCTTAGGTTCTGAGTGTTCTAAATCTCTGGACCCCTGTTAGTCTACACCAGGATTCTATGGCGGTTTACATATTCCCTTTCCCCTTTGTTAAGGTGGGGAGGCCAAAGCTTATGTTAATTACTTGCTCAAGAGTTATAGGGTGATATAGGTAAAGCTAAGAAAAGAACAGATTTTGATACCTTTTGTCTTAATTGCCCATTATGAAGGATTGTGGCTACAGTGGTCTGATTTTTTTTTTTTTTTATCTTTTTCTGTTTTGTTTAACAGATTTATCAGCAGGTTGCAGGTGAACCTGGCCTTGAGGTAAATCCTGCCCCTTGTTGAAATGTAGTTTCAGCAGATAGTTCTTGGCATTTTAAGGAATTAGAATATTTTACAAAAAAACAAAAGTTTTGTTTTGTTTCTTTTCTAGACTTTTTTTTTTTCCTTGTAGAAGATGAGAAACATGTTAAAGGTTCTTTATGCTGAGTAATTGTGATGCTGGAAGTTGGTCATCTGCCTTGTTTAAATTAAGTGGATTTTAAATGTCAAAGCTAATTGTAGACCATTGTTTCTTGATTAAAATCTTATTAAAACCTTATACGTGCCTAGTTTTTATCCATTTTATCTTATATGTGAAATAAAGCCTGTTAGAACCCTGCGTTCAAACTTATTTAACCTGTGAGGTCCAACTTCCTACTCAGTTTTTTTAGTAGCTGAGAGCATTTTTGAATATACACACACACACATATATATTTTAATTGCAACTTGAGCCATTTCTGTGCTACTTCCTTATTTCAGGGTAGGGCAGGTATGTGTGTGTGTGTGTGTGTGTGTGTAAGGAGCTTTAAGATTGTCAGGTTGAGTTGTGAGTTTAAGAATCTGAGTTCTTATTTATATGAATAGGCAGGGTTTTGAGACAGGAGATAAGAGGGGTTCCTTGTGTCAGACTCAGCATGTACTGGGAAGCATGAAAGATTTTTCAGTTAACACAAAACCCTAAGTGATGGGATCCGGGCATATATGTTTAAAGAAGCACCCACAGGACATAATAATAAATTGTCTCTGAGAACTGGCACCTAGAAACTTGAACTCAACAACCAAACCATAAATGCAGCCTAGAGGGCTGGGCATGGAGCTCACAGAACACAAGAGAACAGTGAGGCAGGAGGCCCCTAAGCCAGCGGCTGAAGACTACCTCTCCCCACAGCACTCAGCTCTGCACTTGGCGGACAGATGTTTTCTCCTTAAAGACTGTTGTGCATCGCTTTCTGTCATACATGGTTCTGCATTCTCATGTTTATCATTAAATCTCCTTTCCTTTAAGACAAGGGGCTCCCCAGGTGGTGCTAGTGGTAGAGAACCCGACTGCCAATGAGGGAGACATGCGGGTTTGATCCCTGGTGGAGAAGATCCCCTGGAGAAGGAAATGGCAACCCACTCCCGTGTTCTTGCCTGGAAAATCCCATGGACAGAGGAGCCTGGCAGGCTACAGCCCATGGGGTCGCACAGAGTCAGACATGAGTGAAGTGACTTGGCATGCATGCACACACATAAGTGTTATTTTTCTCTTTGTTCAAAGGGAGACAAGCTCAGGGAGATAGTGTGACTTTTCTAGGGTCTAAAGTAAAGTGGCTATAATAGCCATCAAACTCGGGCCTTCCAATTTCAGATATGGTTCTCTTTACCTTATAGGTCAGTTCCTAGAATCAGTTGCAACTACTAGTGTCTATGTTGACCAGACCTACAAGGGCCCCCCGGCCCCACACCATGTCCCCAACATGCAGTGAAAGCAACACATTTAGTATTTGTATGTGATACCAGGAAGCACGTGATAACTGCATCTTCACCAACCTGGCCATCAAGCCCCAAGCGCCCCTTTTCTGTCACACTGCCTCCCCTCCCATCTCCTGGTTGTAGGTCTTTTGCCACAGCTTGAACGAGCCCTGCCGTCCCTCACGTGTAGAGCAGTGATAGGCTGAAGAGCGGTGGGTGGATGAAAAAGAAGCTCTTTTATTCAACAGATACTCTGTGCACGTGTCAGCCCTCAGGGACTGAGTGCTGAACAAGACAGACACTGTCTTGCCTTTGTGGAGTCAGGCATTACAAAAGTCACTTCAAAATTAGAGAACATAAATACCATGAAGGAGAGGAACAGGTTTTTAGAAAGTACTTGATGGGAGAAACCTCACCACTCAGACTGCCATTGACCACTGGGAAAACGAGAACGCTGCTGAGAAGAGCATACGGCTTCCCTGGTTCTCTTTGCGGATGGCCTCTTCTCAAGCCAGTTCTTGGCCAACAAATGAGATGTCACAAGTGCTGGGGCAGCCAGAGCCACTAACATGAATCTTCCCTCCTCCTCCAAGCTCCGCAGGCCTTGGGGACTCATACTTTTCATATACACAAATAGACCAATGCAGTTTGACAACCTTAAAGACCTTCGAGTTTAGTTTGAGCCTTCATTTTAGAGCCAGGACTAGGACTGAGGAACCTGGCCTCACACAGGTGGCAGTGCCCAGGATCCAATCGGGTGAGATGAACGCCAGCACGCCAGTCTGCCAGATAACATGAGCCATAAGTGACGTGCACGGTGCTTGAACGCCAAGTTCAGGCAGCTGAGGTGTGAGTGGCTGGGAGAGGGGTAGGTACAGAAGAGAGACAAGCAGAGTGGACTAATAGAAAGTGGCATGCTCTGGCATCGAGATACCGTTGTGTATCTTCAGGCAGCCAGGCTTTTCCAGGGAAAAACAAGGATGCACAAACTGGTGAAGCTGACAGCTGAATGTATACAGATGCTGAGAAATGTCCACATTGAAAAATGACAACTTTGCATTTTCATAGTCTAACAGAATACCAATCTTCTTTGGGGGAACCGTTATTCTTATGTCTGGAGTCATCTTGTTGTGTAGAAATTCATACTTATGCCTGAAGATTAAATGTTGAGATAGCAAAGCTTCAGAAACTCTGTGGATGGGCTGTTTACAGAACATTTCAATTTTCAAATACTCCTATGATTATTGTTTTCCTTCATTAAATGACTATCAAAGTAACAGGCCATTTCTAAAACTATACATCTCTTTGTCCTAAGAAACTTACATTTCCAAACTCTGTTTTTGAGCAGCCACTTAACCTAGAAAACTTAACACACAGTATCATAAACTCATACTGCATCAAAATTTGTATAGAAATCATGTTTAAAATGTGGATTTCAAGGTTCAGATGTGTAAATCCCCTGAAATAAAAGACATTTGAAACAGGGAGTTTCATGATCTTTCTATGCAGTAAATGGGGCCTTTACATATAATCTGCACGTTACTGTGAGGCATCCCGTTCTTAAACTTTCAAATCAAGTGGGGCACCTGGGGGCCATCACCACTCAGAACTACATGCACTGGCACCCTCTCCTGCTGGGGGAGGGTTTCACCACGGAGCGAGGCTGTCTCTCCTGTGTGCTTTGGAAATGGCTGAAGCCAAAGCCAAGGGAATTGCCTAACGCTGCCCCACTATGGACATGTCAAGAGCTCTGTGGGCCAGCATGTGGGTCCACACAGTTGGGGTGAACACTTAAGAATACGCTGGAGCAAACCAGCCCGTTTCCATCCCAGTTCACCTTATTTTTTCTCAACAGCAGTCACCCTCTACTTCCCTCCCACCACCTATAGAGTCTAAGACTGTGAGTCAATAAGTGCAAGTCCTCCATTGTGAACACACACACACACACCCCGACATCTTTCCGAGGTGGGACTACAAACCTGCTCAAGCGCTCAGCTTTTGCCCTTCCTGTCCTACTCTGTCTTGCATTTCCACCCTTTTAGCCTTACCCCTCCCACTCCACACAGATGCCCACGCTTCCTTTATGCCCCTTGTTCTTAGCTAAGAGAGGAGACTGATTTTTAGTCTTACTTCAGGCAGAATATTCAAAAACAGTGTGTAGCTCAGTGCACAGTGTTTCTTGCATTCTCCAAACTGGGTCTGAGGTCTAGCAGAGTGCATTTTAGACCTAATACCTTACAGGAGGAAGGTTGCTCTTCTCACCTTTGCTTGGGCATGGCAACATTTAACTAACCATGATCGAGGCTTCACTGCATGAAACATTAGTAGGTTTCAGCAAGCTGAGGGTCAGAGGTCCCATAGTACAAATGATGCTGGGAAAGTGGGGTGATAAAATTTTTTGCAATTTTTGAGATGGAGGGAGGTTGCACTCATGGCCTTCTAAGTCTGAAGTGTCTATTGGCCTGGGCTTTGTGGATTTTCCTCCATTAGAGGACAGAATGCTTTTAGCAGCAGAAGCAAACCAGAATTAATCATAACCATTAAGCTTCTGCTCACATCTACCAAAAAAGTTGGATTTGGGGCTTCAAGTCAAACTTCATTTAGTAACACTGAAGTTGAATATAAACGTAAAACATAAACGTAAGACTTAGTGGTAAAGAATGCTGTCTTTGGAGCCAGATTACCTGGGTTTGAATCCAAGCCCTGAATCCATGTTGGCAGTGGCTCTGTGTAAAGAATCCACCTGCCAATGCAGGAAACGCAGTTTCCCTCTCTGGTCTGGAAAAGTCCCACATGCCATAGAGTAACTAAACCCGAGTGCTACGACTATTAAGCCTGCGGTCTAGAGCCCGGGAACCACAACTACTGAGCCCACATGCTCTAGAGCCTGTGCTCCACAACAAGAGGAGCCGACACAATGGGAAGCCCACACACTGCAACCGGAGAGTAGCCCCTGCTCTGTGCAACTAGAGAAGAGCCTGAGAAGCAACGAAGACCCAGCACAGCCAAAGTAAGTAAATGGGATAACAACTGTGAGAAGTAAATGAGACAGTATGGGTAAGGTTGTTGAGCAATGCTTAACACAGAATAAGCGCTCCATAAATTTTAGCTATTTTATCAAAAGTACCCAGAGCTGCTTTCTCTTTCTAGCTAAACTAGGGAAAGGGGCAGGAAATGAGTCCTGAAACATCTTGGTGTATTTTAGAAAACATAGCATGGCCCTTAGTTATTACAGTGAAAACCTCTCCCTCTATTCTTAGCAAAGCACGTTTTGATCTCGGGTACCCAGATTTCACCTTACCCTGATGACGAAAATGCGTGCCTCATGCACCATGAGAGGCGGTTTGCTCCCAGGTCCTCCTGTCTGGGGACATCTTCAAAGGCCACACCCACCGTGTAGTCCAAACACTCGTCCACCTCCACCTCCCAGTAATGGCGCCCTCGGACTGGAATCAGGTTTCCCATGACTGCAGCACACCTGGTTTTAGAAAGTAGAAGTATGTGTCATTTGGGGTGACCCACGCCTGGCTGTGCAGGTGAGTGGCACCAACTGCTGGGGTCAGTCAGTGAGTGGTCAGGAAGGGTGGAAGAAGGTGTTCAAACACCCCATTTGCAAGGTGGCACAACCTTTGCTCTCAAAGCTCAGCTGCCCGATGCTGAAGAGCAGAAGGTTAGTGCACTGCTGGTCACAGGTGAGGAGGAGACATGCCCACTCTGTGTGCTTTTTCAGCAACAGGGCTTTTACAGTAACAGAAAGGTTTAGTTCACTTGTTCCTTAAAAAAGAAAGAGACTGAGGACTTTCCTTGTGGTCCAGTGGTTAAGACTGTGCTCACCACGCAGGGAGCCCAGGTTCGATTCCTGCCCTGGAACTAAGAGTCCACGTGCTGCAGCTACGGCTCAGTGCACTAAATAAATAAATATTAAAAACAAATGAGCAAGGCCACAGGCCCAAACGGGCTCTGCGTGCCAGGCCCTGTGTCACCCGTCAGGGGCAGCTTAGTTACAGCTTTACCTTCCCCTAAATGGAATTTTAAACCAGTCAATAAGAACATTAGTTAGGTAATATGCCTGAGAGACCCCTGACCTTTCCTAAATGAAAGTAACCTTACCACAGTTCACCTGCTTTAAAAAAATTTTTTTTTTTAAATTTTGTATTGGGGTATAGCCAGGGAAGTTCCTTGGCCCCTATTTTAAGTCTTCTTTAAGTATTTGGAAAGAAGTAAGGTATAAATGGGGGCTTCCCAGGTGGCACCAGTGGTAAAGAACCATGGACAGAGAAGCCTGATTGGACATGACTGAAGCAATTTAGCACTGCATGCAAGGTATTAATACATCATTTTGACCTTAAGTACTAAGTTCTGAAAATAGCATCAATCCAGACCAACAGGGCACATCTTTGATGGACACCCCTCCCTCAGGTCTTGCACCTGCAAGATCATCATTCCTTCTACCAGCTTTGGTTTTTCACCAGGAGTTTTGTTAGAAAGTATCGCCCAGTGGGAGAGCGAGCTCTGGGCTCCGCACTGAGGGGCTGGGTCCTTGTTCTCCCACTGCTCTGGAAGCCCAGGAGGCCTCAGAGGCCATTTCTCCCCTTCTGACATTAGTCAGACTCCTACCACCCCTCCCCAGCCTCCCACCTTCCCTCATTTCTGGGAGTCAGAGCCTGAAGCCCCTTTCAAGGCTGCATCAGTCATAATCCACCTGTACCCGGATAACAGCACGTATGAGGGGGGTTCATGAACTGTTCGGGTGAGGGGCTGATACAGTACCTGGTAAACTGGGTGTCGCTGGGGACTGGCTCCCTGGTGGGGCCTCTGCTCTCGCTTCGCACAACCGTGAGCCCATCTTCGGATACAGTCAGCCAGGGATGGCAGGTGTGCTCGTTCAGGGGGAAGTAGCTGCCTGCGAGGGGAGGAGGTACATGGAGAACCCCCGAGCCAATCACTCCACTGCTTTCTCCACGTTGCACTCCGCACAGGCCGGGGCCTTACCACGCGCAGCCGGCATTAACTCCCTGTCTGACATTGGTGAGCCTGGACCTTGCCTGGTGATGCCCCTCGTGCTAATCATGATGGCAGTTTACATGGGTTGGGCATTACTGGGTGTCTAGTACTGAGCTAAGCGGTTTGTTGAGTCTTATCTTACTCACACCTTACAAGTATCGGGTGTTAGTATTTCCATTTTGTAGAAGAGGAAGCAGAGGGGCAGGGTGGTCCTATCATCAGGTGATGACAGAACTCAAACTGGAACCCCAGAGATGTCCCTGGTGGCTAAGACTCCATGTTCCCAATGCAGGAGGCCTGGGTTTCATCCCTGGTCAGGGAAATAGACCCCATGTGTCACAACTGAGACCCAGTGCAGTCAAATAAATAAACACTTCAAAAAACAAAATAAAAATAAACATAAGGAATAAAAATAACAACAACAAAAAAACCCCAAACTCCAAGCCCATCTGATTCCAGTGGCTGCGCTCTTCACTGGGAGGCTGTAAATACCTGCAGGTGAGCAGGAATTTCTAACCTGCTTGCCAAGGGGAATAGGAATTGAGGGAATTATTAGTGATCAGTTTGACAAAGGTTAGCAAAATCCAAATTTCAATGAGGGCAGCAGAGAGAAGGGAGGAAATCGTACAACCATCTCTGAATTATGGTTAAAACAAAGCACGTCAAAAGAAAATGTTACAGAATGGGGATTTCCCTGGCAGTCCCTGGCTTCCAATGCAGGGCGTGCGGGTTCCCTGTCTGGATGGGGAACCAAGTGCCCACATGATGGGTGGTGCGGCCAGGAAAAATAAAGTGGTCCCCTTCTGTAAAATGGGCCCCCAGGGCTTTGATCGCCCCCGAGTCACTTCCTAGCCTGATTCGCATGTGTTCGTATTAGTAAACATTCGTTGATTTTTCCAATGAAGTCACAGCAGTACTGGGTCTGCCACGAAGGGGTAACTCTGGGTCCAGTGAGTGTGTGGTGGGGGCACAGACCTGTGGTGTGGACGGTAGTGGGCTCACTCCTTGCGCTGGGGCCGCCCACGTTGAGGGCTCTCACATAGATGGTGTAGTTCTGTCGGGGCTGCAGCTGCACCAGGCACTCGCAGGTCGGGATGCCCACAACGGACCTGGGTGAGGAGGCATGCTGACATCACCGAGGGGCTGGGGCAGACAGACCCAAGCACCAGCCGCTCCCCACTGACCCCCAGCGGCAGCACAGGCAGGAGTGAGGCTCTCCTCAGTGCTCCCTCCCAATCGGGTCCCCTTTCCTCATTTTCTTGTATCATTTCTGTCTGTGGCTCTCGCCCCTCCAAGCTCCCCACCCCATGTCCCAGGCACCCAGCACTGCACTCAGCCTGTGTCTAACGCTGCATCAGTGGGGCGCGCATGCAGTTGAATCCAGTGTGTTTCAGCCTATCTGGCAGGGCCAGATCCTCTCTGAGGGCAGGGGCCCAGTACCACAAGCTGAGCACAGCACTGGGCTCACAGCAGGCTCTCAGTCTGTGTTTATGAACAAATGATCTGACTAGAGCTGATATAGAGGGGCCCTTGGGGAAACTGAATGTAGCTGCTGCCCTCATAGAGTTTCCAGTCTAGAAGAAAAGCATTTCTCAAGCCATCACTGGAAGAAACGTAAGATGGTAATATGACAAGTTGATGGTGTATTATGGAAGGTACACTAGCTGACAGGTGCTTTTGAGCCAAACTCTGAAGAATGACTGGGAGGTAAATGGATAAGAAAGAGAATAGAGGAGTCTTTTTCCTAGAAGAAGCGTGTGCAAAGGCCCTGTGACAGGAAGAAGCATTGAAAGTAGAAGGAACTATTAATAAATATGACCCATGTGGGTGAGGGAGGGTGAGCTGGTGGGGATAAGCTGGACAGGCAAAAAGGGGCCAGAGCCAGTGAAGGAATTTTGTCTTCTTCAGGGATGCCATGATTCGATCTATACTAGGAGAGTAAGCACTGCCCAGGTCAACTCTGTCCCTGACCAGCCTTCTGATGACCCCCAGTGTAAAGGGTTTAAAGTATCAGCACAAGTTGCAAAGGAAATCCAAACCATTTGGGGGGAGTTCAGACCACTGAACTCCCTTCCCTGCTCCTGAGGATCCCTGGAAGTAAATAACCCAGGTTAGCAAGCCCTGATGTGGTTGTGGACACATGAATTCTACCTGGGACAAATAGGCTGGGGGTCAGGGGGGACAGATGGCCAGGTCCCAAGCCCTGAATTTAGTGTAGAAGAATCTGTCTCCCTGACAGTTGACACCAACCCCTCCTCCTCCATTTCTCTAAAGTTGGGTTGGTGCACAGTAGGGCAGCCCCTGGACTTGGCTGCCTTTCATAAGCTTCTGGACCACCTGGTCATAATCCAGAGGCCTAGCCATAATTCCTCCACTGTACACAGCTATAGACTTGTACAATCTGCAGGCCCTTGTGGTTCCTGAGTCCAGCCCTCTTCTAGCTGTGAAATCCTCCAGATCTCTGCCAATCAGAGGGGAACATGAGCCTCCAGATAGCTGGCCACCAGGGACATGATGTTTTTTGTACGTTGAATTCAATTCTCTTCATTTCTGCTTCTCTTGGTTCTTTCTCCTCCTCAAGTTCCAGCCAGGTGGGTTTCTTGGCTCCTCCAGTGCAGGAAGCTCACTCCTGCCCAGAAGCCAGGCCTTGCCTGCATCCACTCTTCTCAGGCCTCCTCCCTTCCCATCCATCTGGTCTCAGTTCAAATGTCTACTCGCTCCAAAGTAAGCCTCCACCTCCACTGCATTCCCTATTTCACTGCATTTCTTTTCCCTTCATGTTACTGTCTGTCTTAAGCATTTATTTTCTTGGTTTTTGTCTATTTCCCCCAACTTAGACTGTCAGCTCTGTCAGGGTGGGGAATTTGTCTCTCTGGGTCACCAGTGCCCAGGCACCGTCTGTACACTCAATACTTGTTGAATGAATAATGGGAAACCCTGGTTGGGCTAAGAAAGCAAACCTGAGGTTTACCACTTATTCACTTCTTCACTCATCTATCATTTATCTTCAATCACAAAGTTTCAGTTACTTCTCATGAAACTAAGCAATCTAAAATCAAGGTTCCTGTGTTTAACCTTCTCTCCAGATGCCACACTTTTCCTAAGCTGTGTCACTGTGTTGAGGCCTCTTGTGCCTAGCCAACGCCCCTTGTGACTCACTCAGTTACACCCGAGGCCCCCGGCGTCTCTGCCTGGGTCAGCTCCACCGTGTATGAATCCACAGGGTTCAAGTTTCCAGACTCCCAGGAGATGAGCGCAGCCTCCTCGCAGCTCCTTATCTCTTTGCTTTTTATAATGGGGGGACAAGGCGCTAAATGCAGGGGAAACGGAGAGAGGAACAACCCTTCTGTTCACATCCAGCCTCGTGCTCCAAAACACAGCACACATCACAAGCCCTCTCTTCCTACAAGAGGTTCAGTGCAATAAAAGGCAAACCCGGTGTTTCAGCCTAGACAATCATGTCCTCCTCCAAATTCCTATGTTGGAACCTACTCTCCAATGTGATGATACCTGGAGTCTCCCAGAAGTGCCTCGGTCCTGAGGGTTGAAGGGGTTTATTATACAAGGAAACCCAACGAACGCTCTTGCCCAGTTCCGTCATAGGAGGACACCACAAAAAAAGGCCACTCTGAACCAGGAAGTGTCCTCCCTAGACACTGAACCTGCTGGCACCTTGATCTTGGACTTCCCAGTCTCCAGAACCACAGGAATAAATCTCTGTTGTTTATAAGCCATCCAATGTGCAGCATTCTAACAGCCCAAAGGAGCACCAGGGAATCACTTGCAGATATTTCTGGAGTGGAGGATGGCTGCATGTGGGTCTGTGAAACTGGGTCCAAGGGCAGTGCTTTATCTTCTTTTGAGACCAACTGTGAAAAAATGTCCCTGCCATATCAGGCATACAGATTTTGTGTACTAAATAAAAGGAAAGAAGTGCCAAGCTATTCCTGTCCTTCCAAGTGACATCAAAGCCCTGCCCCCATCAAGAAAGCCGAGACTTCCGGGTCCCCTTCAGTGAAGGTCCTACAAGTGGCCCCTTACCTGTCATGTACACCGCACGCTCACTGGTGGGGCTGAGGCCGGCCCTGTTCTGAGCTGTGACCCAAAATTCATACTGCGTGTTTGGCAACAGGTTTGTCACTGAGCAGTATGTTTCTTTGACAGTCATTGTAAACTCTAGGGGAAAAAATGATAGGATTTAAAGCCTAGAACTTACCTGGTAGTCCAGTGGTTAGGAATCTATCTGCAAATGCAGGGGACACCAGTTTGATCCCTGGTCTGGGAGGATTTCATGTGCTGCGGGGCAACTCGGCTCATGTGCCACAACTACTGAGCCTGTGCTCTAGAGCCCTGAGCCACAATAAGAGAAGCCACCACAACGAGAAGCCTGCATACCACAACTAGAGGGCAGCCCCCACTCGCTGCAACTAGAGAAAGCCTGTGCACAGCAAAAAGACCTAGCACAAACATAAATAAATAAATGGAATTCAACCCCAAAATAGGTCAACTGGCTCCAAGTTCATTGCACTATAATCTGTTTTCCCGGAGGTAGATACAGAACTGGCTACCAATCCCCATTGGCTGTGTATGCATGCCCCTCTGCAATGAGACTCTGCTGACCCTTCCATTGAGAGGACTGGTCTTTCCCATTATCCATTGCAGCTGGGCTTAACCACGTGACTTTCTTTGGGCAACGGGACCACTTCAAACATGGTGCAAGAGAGGTTTGGGCAGTGCTGGGGCACGGGCTCCTTGTCCTCTTCCTGCCAGGAATGCTTCCACTTCCATGGAACGACCTGGACCAGCCTCCTGAAGAATGTGATCATGATGTGAACAGAGGCCCCCAGCATTGCAGTGGATGCCCTAGACATAACAGCAAGGCCATCCTAGCCTGTCCAGACCCACCCAAGCTGGTCCAGACTAGAACTATCTAGTTCATAGAATTATAATAAATTCTAATTCATAGGATTGGATATAGTTTATAATAAAATTATCCAATTCATAGAATTATAATAAATAGTAAATGTAATTTAAAAAGTTGAAGTATCATTGATTTACAATATTAGTTTCAGGTGTACAACACAGTGATTCAATATTTCTATAGATCATATTCCAGTTAAAGTTATCATAAAATATTGTATATATCCTGTGCTGTACAATATTGCCTTGTAGTTTATTTATTTTATACATAGTAGTTTGTACCTCTTAATTCCCTACTACTATCCTGCCCCTCGCAACAAATGAATGAACATAAAATTTGTCATTTTAAGCTTATATGTTGGGTATACGTGTGTGTCGGGGGGTGCTGTTACACAGAAAAAGCTAACTGATACACCTCTAAACATGCCCAGACTCTTAAGGCAGTGACAGGTCATTAATCCACTCTCTGATATCAGTTCCTTTATAACAAAGTGCTCATTGAAAAGATCTTTACTAGGATGTCCCCAGCAGTCTGGTGGTTAAGACTTCACCTTCCAATGCAGGGGGTGCATTGGATCCCACATGCCTTAAGGCCAAAAAATCAAAACATGAAACAGAAATAATATTGTAACAAACTCAATAAAGACTTTAAAAATTTTTAAAAATGTGATCAAGACATTAAAAAAAAAAGATCTTTATCAATCACCAGGACAAAGCCCCCTAACAATGGCATTTTCTGCAGAGGGTGCCAACAGGGCTGGTTTGTAGCAAAAACTGCTATGAATCAGATCTGACTTTCTGGTCCTCAATCTCCCCTCCCATGCCCTCTTTAGTCCTTATTCTCTCCCTCATCATGGATTAAAGTTACCTTTCTCAAGGACTCCCGTTCCTTCCTAACCCCTGGGCAGACAAATCATCCTCACCTTTGGCATTCAGAAACCTTTTATCTGCATGGACTAGTACAAGGGGAAGAGCTCCAGGCAGGGTGCCTGTGGACTCAATTCTCATTCCAGTTCTGCCATAACTTACGGTGTCCCCACGTGTCCGCTCATCTCTCTCTAGGTCAGCCATAAGATGGAGAGCTCTGAATCCCTTTCCCACAGTCTTGCTCTGACCCCATGCACACAGAACAGGCCCGGCCAGGCCCTGATCCTTCAGATGCTCAGCTGGAGCTCCTCGGCTGTCTGGCCCCCTTCTCAACAGGAGACTGGCTTGTCTACAAAGAGGGGGCATCTCCCTCAGCCCTAACCCTGTGCCAGCCAGCTCCACTGCCCTGGGAAAAGGATGGGCTGAGGGCTGCATGCAGTGGAGGCCAGGGCCTTTCCACCTAGGAATGTGGGTCAGATTAGCAGCAGCCCTTCCAGGCTGCAGAGCCCTCCTCAGCCCCCTGGGGGTCTGCAGACTAACCTCCCCCTCAGGTTCTCCCAACACAGGGGGACCTCAAGGAAAGCCCAGCCACCCTCGCATGCCAGGACCTGCTAGAACCCAGCCAGTCCCACTGGGCCTCCTCGAGGAGGGGTGTCCCCATGGGTCCTGCACATGGTGCAGTTAGAGACCCATCATCCCCAGGACAACCCTGATCTGATGGCTGTGGATACACTCCACATATCTGAGCCCTGTGATTCTCCCCAGCCAGGCCCCAACTTGCCTTCCCAGCCCTTCCTGCCATGCTCACCTGCCTGCACGACATCCTGCAAGGAGCTAGGTGTGCAGATTCACCCCATCGCCACCTCCCCAGGGCCCATGCTGGAGCTTGTTTCTGCTCCTGGCAGACCGCACCTGTTTGCTCCTTCCCAGGCGAGCCATCCTGCACTGGCCGGTAGGACAGCCGATAGCTCTCCACGGTGTCATCGGAGTACAAGCTCCAGCACACTCGGACTGAAGAACCCGTGGCTGAGTTAGGGGCCTGTGGGTTTATCACTGGAGCAGAAGGAGCTAGAAGAGCAAAAGGGAGGAAAACAAAGGCAAGTGAGGAGCCGTCAGTTAGAGGCACCAGATGGGAACGGCCGCTTTTACAGGACAATCCATCCCTCAAAGCATGCCATAGGCTTCAGAGATGGGACAGGCAGCCCGGGTGGCCGGGGGGGAGGCCAGACCCCCCAACCAGGAGCCTCAGTAAGAACCGGTTGTGTGCATCTTGCTCTGACCAACCCACACGAGCTGGGGGAGGCGGGGTTGTTTGCGTCTCAGGCTGGGGTGTTTGCAAGTCCTGCCCGAGGGAGGGATGGGTCCTTGGACTCCACCACACCATCCAAAGAGGCAGGATGGCCAGGATCACAGCACCACTGCCCTCAGTCCTACAGTGAACAGAGGAGGGAAAGAGCCTGCAACAACTGGCTCCTTCATTATGATTTCATTACGATGAGAGATGATTAGGTTTGGAAACGCTGTGCTTTTTCAGAACAAACTTTTTTTTTTTTTGGACTGCGCTGTCTTCATTTTGGCACGGGGGCTTCTCTAGTTGTGGCGTGGAGGCTCCAGAGCACATGGGCTCAGTAGTTCAGAATCAAACTTGTGTCCTCTGCATTGGAGGTGGGTTTTTAAAATTATTTACTTATTTATTTATGGCTGTGTTGGGTCTTTGTTGCGGCACAGGCTTTTCCCTAGCTGTGGCAAGTGCTTGGGCTATTCTCATTGCAGTGGCTTCTCTTATTGTGGCGCACAGGCTCTAGGGCACACTGGCTTCAGCAGTTGCAGCACGTGGGCTCCGTAGTTATGTTTTCTGGGCTCTGGAGCACAGGCTCAGTAGTTGTGGGGCATGGGCTTAGTTGCTCTGTGGTATGTGGGATCTTCTTGACCCAAGGATTGAACCTGTGCTTCTTGCATTGGCAGGCGGATTCTTGACCGCTGAGCAACCAGAGAAGCCCTGGAAGGCGGATTCTTAACCAGGGGCTCACAAGGGAAGTTCCCAGAACCAACTTCTTTCGAGTCCATCTACTGAGTTAATACTTTTCTTCTCTGTGGGTTAATAATTCTTCCTACCCCACCCCCACACACATCCAAGAAACATTCCTTGTTTGTCTTCCGTAATTCGTCACCCATGGCAGCATCTCCTTCCATCCGGGGCCTTCAAGAACATCCTTATTTTCAAATTCTGAAATTGTTCAGACCAGGTAGGACTTCATGGAATGTACTCAGCTTTTCCTTGCTGGTTAGGGGGTGGAAAGCCCCTAACATGACAAAAGTGAGAAGAGAAAGAACCTGTATCCCCACGTGATGTAGCTCAGGATACACAGCAGATACCCTGTTATACCCTGCAAAGAAGAGTCCCCTCCAGGGAGGCAGTAAGAAGAGGGATGGCCCTGGATACAGGCTGGGGGCTGATGATCTGCCTGGGACCCGGACACAGGAGGGTGGGGAGAAACCACCACTATGTGTCTCAAGCACTGACTTAGGCAATAGTGCCTTTCTTTCCAAATGACTGGGTCTGATTATTTGGGCAATACCGTCCTGAGACAATCTAAAGGACTTCACAGCTCAGCGAAATCTCTCCTCAACCTGGGGAGTCTAAGAATGGCCTCCAAGACTCCAATTAAGGATGTTCATTGTAGTATGGTTTATAAGGATGGAAAACCTAGAAGCATCTTGGCACCAACAGTTGAGGATTAAGGTATACAGCCATTAAAATGATGTCACAGAAGAATTTATCAGTGAGAATTAAGTACACAGATTAAGGTATAGAGCCATTAAATGATGTCATCGAAAAATTTATCAGTACAAAATAATATTCATCACAAATGTTTTGCTAGGGAAAAAAAAAGCAGATTATAAAACAGGATGATTTCAGTTTTATTAAAAAAAAAAAACACTTGTGTAAAGGAAAAACCTAGGACTTCCCTGGTGGTTCAATGGTTGTGAATCTGCTTGTCAGTTTAGGGGACATGGGTTTGATCCATGGTCCAGGAAGATTCCACACGCTGTAGGGCACCTAGGCCCATGTGCCACAACTACTAAGCCCATGCTCTAGAGCCCATGAATCTGTGCTCCACAGAAGAAGCCACTGCAACAAGAAGCCTGTGCACTGCAACTAGAGAATAGCCCCTGCTTGCTGCCACTACAGAAAGCCTGCACGCAGCAATGAAGACCCAGCACAACCAAAAATTAATTTTTTAAAAGATTGTAAAAAAGTCTTTTGAAGAAGGAAAACCTAAAATGATAAAACATTTTTCATAACGTTGCTGGGTGTTGCTGGATGAGAAAGGAAAGATGATATTAAATTCTAGTATCAGTCTTAAAAAATGAGTCCTCACAATAAGATTTTTAAGAGCTACCTGGCACCATGTGACATGCTATACATCCATTACTTATTTATTTCTCATCATATCCTCATGAGTCATTGTTATGTCCATTTTACCAAGGAAACCAAGGCTCAGAGAGGTTAGGTAAGTTGTCTAGGGTCACATAGGTAGGAAGTAGCAGGGCTGGGATTCTCGCCAGCTCCATAGGATTCCAAAATCCATCTCTTAATCCTATGCTAAAAACAACCACTTGAGAGGGACATAAATACAACATTCAAGGAAATAAACTTCGGGACACTTGTTTGGAGTAAGATAGGCTGATGGGGGCCGGATGCTGGCCCCCAGGAGAGGGAGGGGGGTATTTACCCCGGGAAGGCCAACCTCTGTTTTCACCCTTACAAGCCATAAAGACATAAACAGGAAGCTCATGCAGCTGGTGGGGGAAAATGCCTGTTTCTAGATCTTTATGATTTTTTTTTAGCCATCAAAGTTTTTAACTCAAAGCTCAGGGAAATTGGTGTCAAGTATGCACCTAGGTGAGACACGCACCTGGGATGGTGTTAATGGAGCCCATCAGCTCCTCCACATCAGAGAAATCCAAGGTCTGGTCTTCAAAGTCAGGCTGCGCTGAGATCTCCACATCTGTTTTTGTTTGCAGGAATTTTCTGAGTCTATCGGTATAAAAAGACACACTAACAAGAATGGAGGGATACTCTTCCCCAGGGTCACTAGTGAGCAGCAATGAGGGCCTCTTTACTGAACTATTTTTTAAAATAATCATTTTATTTTTGGCTGCACCAGGTGGCATGTGGGATCTTAGTTCCCCAACCAGGAATCGAATGAACCTGTACCCCCTGCATTGGAAATGTGGAGTCTTAACCATTGGACCTGCCAGGGAAGTCCCTAGCTGAACTCTTATTTCCTTATTTTAAAATGCTGCGGGTGGCCTTCTGGCCTATGCTTCAGTGACTGACCTATGAAGTCACTGGAAGGGATAGGTGTGGCTGGTTTACACCTTTGAGGAGAGAAGGGGTAGGGTCATGTCAGAGGGTGGGGGTCTGGCGGATGTGGGCCAAAAAGCCCCAGATCCACACCTTCTGGAAGATCCTTAGATGCTGACCTGGGAGCTCCCACCTCCACACCACCCCAGGACCCAGAGACACACAACCTCTCCACACGGTCAAGTACCCTCAAGTCGATGAGCATGAACTGGGGCTCTGGGTCTTCTGCACCTGCTCCCAGCTGTCACAGGGTTTGTAAGGAGCAGAGGCAGAATTTGAAACCATGTCTATCTTTTTTCAAAGCTTCTGCTCTTAACCCTGACATTATTATACTTCACTGTTTGTGTTGCTTTACAGACATTGTCTGATTTTATTCCCACAAAGTTATCCCTGTTTGTCAGTAAGGAAGGTGAGTCCTAGACTGGTTGGACTTGCCCAAGGTCATGGGGGTATCAGGATTTAAATTCCTGTCTGACTCCATAATGTACATGCTTTCTGCAGCACACAGTCTGGGTCCTGGTTTAGCTGGGGGACGCTGGGGACACTCTGACTTTTTTGCTTTTTGACCACGTGGCATGTGGGATCATAGTTCCCCAAACAGGGCTCGACCCATGTCCCCTGCAGTGGAAGTGTGGAGTCTTAATCATTGGACCACCAGGGAAGTCCCACTCCCTGGATCTCTGTTACTCCTGGTGAAAGGAGGGGCTCGGGGAAACCCCACCCTGGCTTGAAGGCTGAGTCTCACCATATGCTCCCTTCCAGCTCTGAGATTCTAAGATTTAGTGCCAGAGGGTCCCTGTGGTCCCACACTGTCATTCCAAAGCCAGTGCTATTTACTCTTAGGGGCAGACACAAAAGCTGAACCTGGGAGCATATAACCAAGGGGAACTGATACCTAGTCAGGTATCTAGAAGCAAAAGGAACAGAAAAAGAAAATACATGTCAGAACAAAAGTATTACCTGTCAGCCATAGCCACAGCATCCTAAAAAGGAGGAGAAAGAGAAAAAAATATTAAACTGATTTTGGAAATAAATTTCTTTTTCAAACTATATAATAATATAAATGTATCTTAAAACTTGGAAGTTAGTAGAAGAGAAAAATCAGCCACATCCACACCCTAAACAAAAATGACTCTTATGACGCCTATGCAGTTTCTTCCCATTAACATGACGTGAGCATGTTTCCAGGTGACAAATGGTCTTGGGGATCATCAATTTGAAAGACTGCATCACAGTTCATTGAATGGGAACTCCATCATTTGCTCTATTGTTGTACATTTTGGTTGTTTCTAATTTCTCACTACTATAAATAACAGAGAAGACATACTCATATATCTCACTTTCTCCACATTCTAGATTATGTCTGTGAGCTACAGTGATACTGTGGACAAATTGGTTCAAAAGGTCTAAGTGTTGAGGGCTCTGATGGTGGCTGCCAACCTGCTGTTCAGCTTCCATCACACACCCCGCTCTCACCCAGGCATCGCAGGAGGGAGGGGCTGTGGGGCTTGGAGGACCACTATGGGCATGGCCAATGGAAAGGGCATATTTGGCAACTAGGAAGCTCTGGAGGCTACCCCCCGCCTCACATCCTGGATCCCACATCTGCCCCATATTCCTGTGGGACCCTAAAGAAAGGAGACCCCAGCTCTGGCTGAGATTGAAATTCCCAGTCTGGCTGCATGGGGACTTGGAGTCAGATTGAGGAGGATTTTAAGGACTTTTTTTTGCATGTCTGAACTTATGAACTAAGATGTCTAACGGCGGCACTTGTAACTGAGAAACAGGAGGTACCTTTCTAGCCTGGACATCTTTCTCCCCCGACCTCTGAGAGATCATCTGAGATGGACAGAAAAGTCCCAGAGTCCTGTTTTTGCCCCACTCCACGGTGAGAGCACCTATCTCTGGGTAACCAGGACAGAGGAAGACAGACTCTGGTGTTTAACTGAGCAGTGGTGGAGGGGAGGGTCAGCTGTGTACGAGCCTGCTTGGCTACCCATGGTGAAGCTGTGCAGTGAGATGGGGGATGTGTTGTCATGGTTACACATTCAGTGGAATCAGATGGATGCTGACTATGAAAGTCGGTTCCAACCCCTCCAGGCAGAGAGGGGACAATCTAACCTACTCTGGCCATGACTGTCATTCCAGTTCATTATTTCATTTCACTTCATTACTGACCTTTATGAAATCAACCTTCTCTTCATGACACATCTCCTCTATTGTTTCCATCAGCTCTTTGCAGGTGTCAAGATTTTCTCCACAGTTGACCAGCTGTCCATACAAGGCTTCCAGCTTCTCTTTCTTTTTCTCCCCTAGAGCTTGTATTTTTTCTTCATATTTTTGGGAAAGTGTTTCCAAGATTTCGTTGTAATGAGACTCAAAGTTTTGTTCTTGTCTTCCAAAATTCTCCTGTAAGATATAGTTGATCTCAGCTGTCATTTCAGTGCATGTATGTTGACTACAGAGTCATTTGGGGCATGAAAATGTATCTACTCAGAGATGTTTTGGTCCCTCCCTGTTAATCTTATTGTCTCTTGTCAGGATGCTGAGGTGGACAAAGGTGGAATTAGGACCAGGAGTCTCCAGCTAGAACCCCAGGGATAATCTTAACAAGGAGTATTGCTTTCTTCGCTGGTGGCATTTTACAATCCTCTTCCCCTTACCCCACCCACCTCTGGTGTAGCCACTGCCCATCACCATGACAACCGACAGAAGATTATCATGATTATCATTACCGTAATGAATCTGCCACTGGAACTCTGGACCTTAACATGAAGACGTCTGCCCTGGAAGAGTCGTACCTAACTTGCTTTCCCTCTTGAGCTCTCAACATCTCATGACACTCACCTCCACTCCTTGATGGTTGAATTATACAAACATCAGGATCACACAGATCCTCATAACAACCAAGAAAAAGATGCAGGGGGAGGGGAATAACCCAGGTGGTGCTGCCTAATAGAGCAGAAAAAGCAGGAAGACAGTGAGAGGGCTGTGCCAGTATTTAATCCTAGAGTGCAATGAATGGGAAATATTAATTAAATTTTATCAACTCCTGGTCCCCCTTAGACTGGAAACCCAGGACAGCTCTGCAGGTTCAGGGAGTATTTAGTCTTATCAATCATTCAGGGAGTATTTACTGAGTATTGACTGTGTATGTAAGACTTGCTCGGAATGCTGGAAGAGAGGGAGAAGCAGTAGGTGACCGCCACCAGTGCTGAGTGTAAAGGAAGAGGTCAGAGTCCTCACAGAGGGTGGAGACACTGTAACTGAGAGCAGCGGGCGGCACGGAGTGTAGGCGCTTTTTCCTGGCTGCTGTACACTTACCCTCCTGTCACCCCCACCCAATGCTTAGATGTGGAAGGGCTGGTCCCTTCCCTGTGTCTTCCATAGGAAATTAGTGCAACAGCTCCCCTCCCTTTTAAGACTGGGGGTGGGGAGGGAAGTCTAGCTTCATGGGAAAGGAACCCAGGGCTTAGTTCATTCACACAAGATGCTCCCATTGATGCAATCTGAGGCTGCATTAACAGAGGTCGAGCACCCACATGAAGGGAGGGGACATAGGAAGTCCTCTGGTCCCCTTCCGGGCTACCTCATCCGGATGGCTAGGTTGTGTGCTGGTGTCGAGCAGTAGATGATACACCACCAGGCACACCCAGGGAACCGTGACACGTTTGGTGACAGGCACAGAAATTTATTGGCTATGTGAGAAACAGGTACCATCTAAGGAAAAGAAGACATCAGTGAAACGATGGGTGTCTTGCAATGTCTGTTTGGCTGGCCCATGAAAGAGTCCTAACTTATAGTGAGGGTGGAGACATGAAGATACTGAAGACCCAGCCCATGAGAGCTAACAGTTCAGTAAGGAATGCTGCCAGGTAATTGGTTCCACAGGTTTATGCCCCTGCGCTACAGGAAGGCAGACAGAGGGCTGAGGGAACAGGAGCTGCAACAACACCATACATTCCAAGAAACAGGTTCCCTAATTCATACCAGACACAGCTGCTGACTCAACCACTCATGGCTGCATGTATCTGATGGAGTCACTGAGCATGCTCTTACCTCCACCGTGATGAAAACCTCTTCTAAGTGACTTGCAAAGTTTTCCATCTCAATAATTTGCTTTTCCAACTTGTACATATTTTTGTGAATTTCATCCTGTCAAATAGAGGATCCCAAGAAGGCATTAACACTATATTTTCCTTTTCTCTTTCATAGAAGGCATTTTAGATTCATCCCCCACCTACATACTTGAGATACAAATACAATCTCAACAGAAAGAAGACCTAAGCAGACCTGCTTACCTTGGCGCTCTCCAGGGCTTTACTGAGCGGGGTCACCTCATGCTGCTTGTGTTCATCCTGATCCTTCTCTGATGCTCTTATTGGGGTTTTGCAAGTGACACAGAAGACGTCAGCTGCTTCTTCCTCGTCCTCCTCCTCTGGGATGACGTAGCACTCATACTCCTCGCTGGCACGGCCGTGGCTGTACCTATAGGCTTCCCGCAAGTCCTGGCACTGGCCTACTGAGCCCCAGCCCATGAAGCCCAGGTCCTCACCCTGAGCCGCCTCACCAGTAAGTCTCCAGTCTCTCTGCTCACTCCCCATCATCATATAAGAAGGATATTCTGAAACCTCTATTCTGGGTGTGTTTTCCTCAATAAACTCATCCCCTAATTCGTGATCATCTTCAAGTCCATAGAGATGGACAAGTTCATCCACTTCCTCTCCAAGGTCTCTCTGAGCCTTCCCTTTCACGCCCCCTCTCATGGGCTCATGGGTCATTTCAGCTTGGACACCTTCTCTTCTCATCCGAGTACTCTCTTCTGGGAAGATCTGCAGTCTGTCTTCAGAGTCATACAGATCCGTGTGATAGAAGCGGAAATCCTTAGAAGCAGCAGACCTGCCCAGCCCTGGTGCCTCCCCAGCTCCCTCCTCCATCGCAGCTCCAGGCAGTTCCTCTGTACAAGGAGGACTCTTCCTGGACAGTCCTTAGTGGATCTCCTGGGTCCTAGAACACAAAACCCCATTTCTGAGAAGGTCGTTGCAGCAGATGGTTATTTCATTGGGCCCAACTCATTCGCATTAAAAAAAAAAAATCTCATCTGAGCATCTCAGTTGTAGTTTCACTTTAAACAATCTGTTAGGAAGGTTTGCTTTCTGCAGGAAGATGGACTTCCTGAAGCTCCAATACTTTGGCCACCTGATGCCAAGAGCTGACTCATTGGAAAAGACCCTGATGCTGGGAAAGATTGAGGGCAGGAGGAGAAGGCGGCGACAGAGAATGAGATGGTTGGATGGCATCACTGACTCAATGGACGTGAGTTTGAGCAATCTCTAGGGAATAATGAAGGACAGGGAAGCCTGGCGCACTACAGTCCACAGGGTTGCAAAGAGTCAGACACAACTGAGCAACTATACAATGACAGCAAAGCTTAAAAGAGACAGGAGAAATTATGAACAAAAATATAAATTGGGGGCTTCCCTGGGTGGCTCAGTGGTAGAATGCCAATGCAGGAGACACGGGTTCAATACCTGATCCTGGAAGATCCCATATGCTGCACAGCAACATGCGAGCCCATGTGTGAGCCCGTGACCACAACTACTGAAGCCCGTGTGCGCTAGGGCCCATGATCCCAGACGCCACGCAGTGAGAAGCCCGTGACCGCAACTACTGAAGCCCGCATGCGCTAGGGCCCATGATCCCAGACGCCACGCAGTGAGAAGCCCGTGACCGCAACTACTGAAGCCCGCGTGCTAGAGCCCATGATCGAGACGCCACGCAGTGAGAAGCACGTGCATCACAACTAGAGAGTAGCCCCTACTTGCTGCAACTAGAGAAAGCCTGTACAGCAATGAAGAAACAGCATAGCCAAAATAAATAAATAATTAAATAATTAAAAAAAAACAACTAACTGAGCAGCTCAGTTGCAGTTTCACTTTAAACAATCTGTAAAGAAAGGTTTGCTTTCTACAGGACTATGGGCTTCTAAAGCTTAAAAGAGACAGGAGGAAAAAAAAAAGAGACAGGAGAAATTATGAAAAAAACAAACAACCCATAAATTGATTTGATTAACAAATGACCTCTATACATTTAAAAACCTAAAAAATCCCCAAAGGCAAAATATAGGAAGTGTTTCAGGCAATTATTATTAAATAAATTATGTAAATTAATTGAAAAGAAAAATCTCAGTTGTAAGGAATATTCACAAAATAATTTCCTTTGCATATACTGTTACCTATACAAAACCATTTGGAAAATAGTTCATCCTTATGAGTAACAGGGGCTTCCCCAATGATTCAGTGAGTAAACAATCCACCTGCAATGCAGGAGACACAGCAGATGTAGGAGACTTGAGTTTGATCCCTGGGTCGGGAATATCCCCTGGAGGAGGAAACGGCAACCCACTCCTGTATTCTTGCCTGGAAAAATCCCATAGACAGAGGAGCCTGGCGGGCTGCAAAGCATCAGACATGACTGAGCACATAAACTCATGTATGAATAATAGAGAATAAACATGTAGACGATGTTTTGCCTTTCAAACCCCAAGACTAGGGAAGGGTCCATGAAGTGAATACTCTTACATGTTGTTGGTTAGAATGTACACGTTCCACCTTTCTGGAGAGTGAATGTGGCAACATGGATCAAGAGCCTTAGAGATGTTCACACCACTCAGGGACTTCCCTGGTGGTCCAGTGGTTAAGATTCTATGCTTCTAGTGCAGGTGGTGCAGGTTTGATCCTTGGTGGAGGAACTAAGATCCCACATGCTGCGCAGCCAAAGATAAAAAAAGAGTTCACACTTTCTAACCTAATAGACCTTTTCTAGGATCCTAAAGAAAAAAAATCTCAAATATAGCAGAAAACATTATTTCTATATAAAAATGTCCACCACAAATTTTTTTATAATAGCCAAAAAATAAAAACTGTAAAGCCCTATTAGGAGAATCATAAAAAAACTAGAATATGCACACCCTGTAATATAATGTAGCCTTTAAAATGTTAGGGAGAACAAAGGATACCTTGGGGAAAGACTTATAATACGATACTAAGTAAAATAAACAGAGTACTCACTATATATAGACTATGAGGCCTACTATTTTAATGGAGGTGCATAAAATCTAGAAATAAATAATAATAACAGCAGCAAATACAGTATCAGTAGTAGCTACTGCATGTTGAGCACTTACTGTGTATTTTCTCCTGTGCTAGGCAGTTAATTAATTTTTTTTAGCCACAGGGCATGTGAGATCTTAGCTCACAGACTAGGGATCGAACCTGTGCTCCCTGCAGTGGAAGTGCAAAGTCTGAACCACTGGACCACCAGGGAAGTCCTTGTGCTAAGAAATTTTACATACATTTTTTTGTGCGGTAGCTACTACTATTATCCCCATTTTACAGACTGGGGAACAATTGACTCCCAGAGGGTATCTTTTTTTTTTTTTTTCCATTTATTTTTATTAGTTGGAGGCTAATTACTTTACATCATTGCAGTGGTTTTTGTCATACATTGAGATGAACCAGCCATGGATTTACATGTATTCCCCATCCCGGTCCCCCCTCCCACCTCCAGAGGGTATCTTGTGCAAGGAAGGTCACATGGCTAGTAAGTTGTTGAACTGGGATTTGAATCTGAGTGTGTGTAGTGGCCATGAAACTGAGCCTCGCAGACATCCAATTGTAGGGGCCATAACCAGGGGTTTCAGCTTTACTCTGAAAGTCACTGTCACATTTGCATGGGGGACACACTTCCTGTTGGCAACTCCCATCCGATGACAAAGGCAGGGACACCAAGGCAGATCCATTTCTGATTGACACAAACTATCCTGGTGGCAAATCTTGGCTGCAGGACTCCTTGACAGCCATGCCAGACCTCTCCTAGAGTGTGTGGTAGGCTAGGACGGTTCTCCAAACCTTCCTTCCTTCTATCCATATCTGACCCCAGCCTTTCCTATTTTTTTCCCCTTTATAATCTCACACAATAAAACAGTGTGAGATTATAGTTTATAATTATAGTCCCCTAATAAAACATAATCCCCTATGTTTTATTTATATTTTTCCAGTCCTCTAGATTATAGTCCCCTAATAAGACAGTGTGTATCTAACTTCTAATTTGGTGCCTGCTTCTTGGAAGGCCTTGTTAACAGAGTCTGTTGGACTATAAAGTCCCTGCTTGCTTCTTGGCACAGAATTGCCATTACATTACTTTTTGGTAATACTTTAGTGTTTGTTGCTCAGTCGTGTCCAACTCTTTGTAACCCCACAGACTATAGCCCATCAGGCTCCTCTGTCCATGGGATTCTCAAGGCAAAAATACTGGAGTGGGTCGCCATTTCCTTCTCCAGGGGATCTTCCTCCAGGGGAATGAACCTGAGTCTCCTGCATTGCAGGTAGATTCTTCACCATCTGATCACCAGGGAAGCCCCTTGCTTTAATTGATACATAGTTTACATGAACAGAGGAGCCTGGCAGGCTACATCCATGGGGTCACAAGGGTTGGACATGACTTAGTGACTAAACAACCCACCTGCCTAAAGGCTATACTTCAGTGCTTTTTAGCATAGTCACAAAAACGAGCAATGATCTCCACAGTCAATTTTAGACCATTTTAATCAACTCAAAAAGAAACTCTGGGGACATCCCTGGTGGTCCAGTGGCTAAGACTCTGAGCTCCCAATGCAGCAGGCCCAGGTTTGATCCCTGGTCAGGAAACTAGATCCCACATGCTGGAACTAAGGGTTTACACACTACAATGAAGATCAGTGATTTACACACTACGATGAAGATCAGTGATCTCGTGTGCTACAACTAAGACTTGGCATAGCAAAATAAATAAAATAAATATTAAGAAACTCTGCACTCATTAGCTATCATGACTCACACCCCCTCATTTCCACTAGCCCTAAGCAACCACAAATTTATTTCCTATCTCTACAGGTTCTCCTATTTGGACATTTCATATAGATGGAATTGTATTGTATGGTACATGGTCTTCGGTGATGAGCCTCTTTCTTAGTGTAGTTTTCAAGGTTCATCCAGGTTGTTGTATATGTCAACACTTCCTTTCTTATTAGAGCTGAATAATATCCTACTGGATGGATATATCATATTTTGTTTATCTAGTCATCCATTGATTCACACCACTTCCCATTTCATTTGGGTTGATTCCACCTTTTGGCCATACTAAATAATGCTACTAAAACATGTACAAGTTTTTGTGTGCATATATGTTTCATCTCCCTTGGGTAGATGCCAAGGAGTGGGATTTCTGGATCAAATAGTAACTCCCTGTTTAACTTTTGGAGGAATACCAGACGGTTTTCCAAAGTGGCTGTATTATTTTATATCCCTACCAGCATTGTATGAAGGCTCTGATTTCTCCATATCCCTGTCAACATTTGTTACTGTCGATTTTTTTTTTATCATAGCATGAAGGCAGAAGTGAGCCAGGTTGGCAGGCAGGTGAGCAAAGAAGAGTAGGAAGCACTGTACAGGCATAAAGTGCACTGCATTCCAGGATCTAACGCCTGACGATCTGAGGTGGAGCTGATGTAATAATAAAAGAAATAAAGTGCACAATAAATACTATGCCCTTGAATCATCCTGAAACCATCCCCCACTCCCAGTTCATGGGAAAATTGTCTTCCATGAAACCACCCCTGGTGCCAAAAAGGTTGGGAACTGCTGTGGGAGGAATGACAGAGAGGTCACCAGGCCTCATGAGAGACCCTCAGCTAGAATCTTGCAGATGAGCTGCTTTCAGATTCCTGGCCCTCAGGAACCATGCAAGAAATGAACATTTGTTTACTGTTTGAAGCTACTAAATTTTGGCAAAAAATTATCATGCAGCAATAGACAACTACTACACTGTTCCAGCCTGAAATAAGCTTTTTCGCTCTTGTTAAACTTCTCTCCCTCCTCTATTTTTTTTTCTTTCACAT